CATTGCTTCCTGTAGTGTGTCCTCTCCGAGCAGAAAGACAAACTCGGCTGGCAGTGTGAAAGAAGTCAATTGGCTTTTTTTTTAGTCAGTTTACCTGCATTTGAAAAAATGCTAATTTTGGTGTAAAAAGGGCAAGAGAGCGGGCAAGAGAGAGAGAGAGAGAGAGAGAGAGAGAGAGAGAGAGAGAGGCTTCACACAGCTCTAAAATGAAATAAGATTTTACAAATAAGAGAAAAAAAATAGAAAAATCAATATAAGGTGGTTAATGTTGATATTGTGGCGTGCTGCCACAAATCAAATCAATGTAGGGGAAGACTGCTTTAAAAGCTTTTTGGCAAACTCCGAAGGGGTTGTCATGTACGTTTTACTTCAAGTGACTTCAATCTAGCCAGTCTACCATAAAGACCTGGCTGATGGAGAGCTGCTGAGATGGTCATCCTTCCAGCAGGTTCTACTGTCTCTGCAGAGGACTCTCAGCGCTTGATGCTTACTTTAATGTCAAGGAGCACGAGTTGAAAAATGTAGGAATGAGTTAGTACTTTAGGGCTCAATGAAAATTTATCAAATAATGGGCTTTTCCTCAATCAAGGGACAAAATTATAAGACAAAATGATTAAATTTCTTTGAATACACTCTAGGTTTTTGATTAATTTTCATTTTAAATTATTACTGTATTTGTTTAATAATAATGTAATCATTTTCACATACTTTAAACTATGTAAGAGTATGAACTGTATGAATACATCTGTATTAAAGGAGTTTTAAAAAATCTGATTAGTCTGTTTTACACAAAAGGGATATCAAGTCCCCCAAGCTGATCCACCTCAAGTCTTCAGTTGTGAACACTTAGAGGCGTCTGCTTGTTGAACTATTGTCTAGAGGGCCTTTGCATTGTCAATTCACGCAATCCACTCACGAGAATTGACACTGGTTCAGTGCAATGACTGCGTTGTCATCATTGTGTGATCAACCTTTTTTTGAATTTTCAAATACCTTTTATTCACACAATACTCCTGAATACATTTTACAGTTCACACACATCTATGTTTAGCTGCAAATGCAAGTGAAACGCATGCACTGTTGTTGAGCTCTGTTAGAGTGACACCTCCCTGAACAAGGCTCTTCTTGCCTGGTTACTCAGTGGGCCAACTCCAGGAAGAGCCCTGGTGATTCCAAACACTGTGATCCTGGGAACAAAGTTTAGAAATGATTTTATACCCTCACCCTGATCTATGACTCACTATAGTTTTATCATGGAGGCCTACAGAGATTTCCTTGGGACTTCATGTCTTGGTTTTTGTCCTGATAGGCAGTGTGAATTGTGGGACATTATATACATGCAAACTATGACCAATCAATTTAATTTTCCACAGGTGGACTTACACAGTCAAATTATGCACTTCACCACAGTTTGGAGTGCCACAGCAAAAGGTCTGATTACTTTTGTAAATGAGAGATTTCAGCTTTGATTTTTGGCTGGTCTGCAACAGCATGGCCAGCCCTATGATTGTGAATGTCACTAACTGACTGACAGTGGAGTGCTGAGCAGCTACTCAGCATCTACTGAGCTGCTTTGGTTTCCCGGCTGCTCTGGAACTGCAGGGAAGAGGAGGAGCATTTCCAATACACTGAACCTCGCCTCCATTACAGCAAATAAAGTACTTTCATTAGATGTATCATTATTACTAAAGGAGGCAGAGGAATAACTAAACATAAGACACACAGAGCAGAGAGAGCAGGAGAGAGGGAGGGAGAGAGAGAAGTAATCAGTAACAAGGCTTCGTACTAACAACTATGACCAACTCTACATATCAAACAGAGGGAGTCAGACATAAAGACCTGCCTCTAATAAAAGTCTGTTACATTCTGGAGTTGACGTAAATAAAGACTAAACTATTGTCGATCCAGACGGAAGCTGTGCTCTGTGTGAGAGACTAATTAAAAAAGATAGTCTGTCTCGGGCCCCGGTGGTTCACCTGGTGGATCACATGACATTTGGGTTTAGTCCTTGCGCAGTGGCCCTGATTCAAGTCCAGTCGGTGGCCCTTTGCTACATGTCTCTCTTTCTCTCTTCAATTTTCCCATCTCCCTCACACTATGATTAAAATAAAAGGCAAAAGCCTGAAAAAAAAAATCACTAGTAAAAAAGAAAGATAGTCTGTCTTTTGTAACTTTCTCTCTGATCATGTTACAGTAAATACAGTTGAAATCACAGCTCAGTATTTCATTAATGTGTTTGGTGATTTTGTCACACGACGCCGCAGTCATGAAATCAGGATTTGAACATAGGTAGTCCAGACATATACTAGGAATAGATCGAGTCTTGTTAATAAATACACACACTGCAACACAAAGTGTGCAATAAGCGAAAAGTGAAGGGGTTTGAATACTTTCTGAAGCCACTATATGTCAACAAAAGCTGTTTTCTGTGCAATACCACCTCCAATAGATATTAGTCCTTAGGTTTAGAAATGTTTCTCCTTCCAACCAGGCAGTAGCTGATTAGAAATCCCAGCCCTAAAGTTAATTCTGATTTTTTAATTGAGTAATTGTGACTCGACTTAATGATATGATATTGCTTGATATTACATGACGATGATATTTAGTTGACATATATTCAAAGTTAAAATAAAGCGGGAAGTTTACAGGCTGTTTACAGCCTGTGAAAACAAGGCTTTTGGTAAGTCTGAGAAAAAAGCATGCACAATGTCCTAGTCATCATGGTTCATCTTTTTTAAAGAAATGTATCAAAGAAGAAGTTGGTGTCACAAACTGGGGCTAGCAAAAGTAAATGGCACTTGTGTCTTCGTGGGAAGTGTAGGATCCACTGTCTTTTGAAGTCTGGCCATACTAAGAGCTAAAAGTCAGGATACGTCAGCCTCTGCAGCACAGGTGTGTCACAATTTCTTAATCTCTTTGTTGCGAGTCCCCCAACTTTATGGAAGTGCAATATTAAAATCACTGGAGTGCCTTTTAAATGTGTTTGAATTACATCAGCACTTCTATCATCAGCCCACTGGAGCTCTCTCATGTTTCTGAAGACAGACTAAAACAAAGATGCCATAGGTGTGGCCCATTGGCGATCAGATCGACTATGGCCAACTGAAGACACAAACAAAAGAGTCGAGAATTAGCAATAGCTATAAACTCCTTGTGCAACACATCAGTTTCATACCCTGTTTTGAAACCATGTTAAATTGCATTGTCCCTATCAAATAAATAAATAAACTAAACTAAACTAAACTTATTGGGGCTTTTTTTCCACTGCTGAATTTAAGGAACAATCAGAATCAGCAACTCTCTGAACTTCATTTACGCAAACCTTGTCCTTCTGCCAATCCTGACAAGTGCACTGAGCAAACTGACAGACCACATACCTCCATTCAACCAATACATGCTGTGTGCAATGTGTGCACGTGATCCTTGCTCTTTTCCTTGCTCCTCTATCTTTATGTGCCGGGCCGGCTCACATCTCTGAGGCCTGACCTTTAACTTGAGTGTACAATTTGCTAAAACCGACAGTTGACTTAAAATAATTTTTAAATGTGCATTTCATTTTTTTTTTTTACTGACTTTGTTTTGATGCATGCAGCAAAACTAGGTTTTTGTGTGTGTAATAAGACACACACACTGAAAGACAGAGAGGAGGGAGGGAAGTCTCCATTCAGGAGCACCAAGCTGTTGCTGGAGACAAATTTACTGTTTTGTGATCACTATATTGTCTGATAAAAATGAACCAAAACACAGTGTAATGACAGCAGCAGCAAGATCGGCTCTATTGACTTTTTGAATGAGTGAAAGACCAGAGACGATCGGATCGTCTCTCTGCGATTGCTGGTGATGATGATAGACAATTGTCTAAACCTACTATGCCACAGTCAAGCTGACATGTTAACGAGGAAACTCTTAACTACTGGGGTGATGAGGATTTTTGCATTTTAAAATGAACTATGGCCAGAGGCCACGTAAGTGCACACAATGAGACATCTGTCATTTTAGATATGGAACAGAAAACACGTCTTAATGTGGAGCTAGAACATCTGATTTCAGCAATAAGCATTATATATTATATACTTTTAAAACGCTGTTGTATCTGACTTGCAGCATCCTGCTAATGTGGTTTTGCCTGCTGTCATGGTCAAGCAGTGAGGCCTCTGATCTGCAGACTGGAGACAGATTTCCAGGCTAGGCTACATGGTCACCGTGCATTAAATGATGAGGACACAGCCTGGCTGATGGTTCCGCCTCTGTGTTGTGTGCTGTGTGTTGTGTGTGTGTGTGTGTGTGTGTGTGTGTACGTGGAGGTGGGGGCGGTGATTGTAAAGCCTGTAATATAAATAAAAGTAACCTGTGTATCTGGATTGCACCCGCAAAAACACAGGCACGACTTGATGTAGCCTCCACCTCCACCATCATCATCATCATCATCATCATCATCCCTCTGAGGTGATGAACCTCTGAGGATTGGTGAAAATGAAACTTTGGACACATTACAATGTACAAGAATGCATTAGAAAGCGGCGTAGTTGCGTCTTTGTTGTGTCAACAGCGGTGTGTGTGTGTGTGTGTGTGTGTGTGTGTGTGTGTGTACTAGTTTGTGTACGTGTGTGTGTGTGTGTGTGTGTGTGTGTGTGTATGTGTGCTCTGTTGGCGCACCAGGCTGCAGCTGCAGCGAGCCTGGAAAATGAAGCCAGGAGCGAATGGAATAAAGCAGGCCCGAAATAAACACAGGCTCCGCGGAATAAAACCTTCCCCCTCCCGCTCACACTCGTCTGTCGCATTTTTCTGTTCATAGGAAGCCGAGGGATGTGAACGCATCGCACTCAAATGGATCCTTCGTATTTAGTCCATCGTCTTGCCCCCCTGCACCGCAGCCCCCACGATCCATGTTACAGCCGGTGTTTCCTGAAGATTTACATCCAATTACCTCCACTCGGAGCCCGTGTCCCCTGCTTAGCCTAGACACGCTACCCCGCCGCCGCCACCGCCGCAGCGCTTACCTCCTCATCCTGCGGACCTCCGGGGATCCCCGACGAGCAAGAGGAGTCCAGCCCAGCGCCCAGTTCCTCCAGGCCCCGCTCCCTGCCCGGCTCCCGCTCCGCGGTGTCTCCGTTAAAGACGGGCGGTGGGGACTCGGCGCTGCTCAACGCCGCCATTTTAAACTGCGAGAAACTGAGTGGAAAATAATAGAGGGAAACGCAGGGTGGTGTTGAGGACAGGAGGGGGAGACAGAGACGCAGGACGATAGAACTAATGTGGACTGGATGGATGGCACAGGACTACTACTATTACTACTACTATTAAGCTGGCACAAAATATGTTGTCATTATAATTATTTTATTAATATACCATTATAATTATTATTTCTATTTAACTTGGTCATGTGTTTCTATAAAAAAAAATATAAACAGCCTCTACTAAAAGGAGCTTTAATATGACAACAACTTTTGAATTCTGGTGCCTCTGTCTGTTCAAATGTGTTTACACTGAAAAATACAGCTAACACAGTACAAAACGTTAAAAAGAATTCAGTGAACTCAGTGACATCTACTTTATCTACTATCATTTGCTGGAGACCTCAGCAAGCTTACATTCAAATATACCAGAAAATGTAATACTACTCAGTTTGCCATAGCTGACTTAATTGTAAAGAAGTAAATAGGGGAGAATGGGGCTGGGTGTAACATTTTTGACATTGTGTGTGTGTGTGTGAGAGAGAGAGACAGAGAGAGCCATGCTACTTACTGTCAGTCATAGTAGTGAAGACATTTAAATATAATAAAACTTAACAAAATGTGCAAATGTTCACCAGCTTCAACAATTTAACATTTGTGTGTGTGTGTGTGTGTGTGTGTCCGCTTATGTGTATTGTTGTTACAACTAACCCAGACTCTTGTAGCCATGAACTAGCTTAACTTGCAGCTAACAGCTAAAACATTAGCACTGACAACTAGCATGAAAAATATCTAGAGACTCAAAATAAACATGACATAAGTTTGAAAAGATGAACTACAAATCAGGCACCTGCTATTACAAAAACGAGGTAAAAAAAAAATTCTTACCTAAAATTAGTTTTTTCTTTCTAAAACAGTCTGTCTGTCACAGGCTGCTAATTCCTCATATGTAGAATAAGACTAACCTGAGCAGGTATAGAGTGAATCAGGTGATTCATAACTTGTTCCTGATTGAAGAAACTGGAAGTGTTACAAATGATCCATCTTACAAGCATCCGGTCTCCTCCTATCTCAGTCACCATGGACATCACTAATATATACCAACATCATTCTGGGAAAATCAGTTACCAGTATTCAAACTCACACAAGCTTTCTGGAGACTCGAGAACCACCGGAACCTTCCTGTAGGTGGAGCTAGTGCTTGATTATTCACTATAATTTCTTCCTGCCCCTTCTAACAGAAATGATCACATTTAATATTTTGACTATCCTTGCATAAGACAGGGCCTCCAGATGAAGTGATAATACATGACATGTCTAAGTTATTATTGTACTTTTGTGTTAAAAAATTAAATTTTCTGAGAAATTTATGAAATGGAATTTTTTTTTCCAGATCTCATTGACATGCAGTGGGTCTGCGGTCCCAAGGCAGTTTGTCATGCTGTGAAACCACATCTGTAAAAGTCACTTTGGACGACCTAATTTTTTTTTTTTTTCTGCATGTATTTATTTTTCTGTCCTGCACATACCAGCAGTGACTCAGTGCAGATCAGAATATTCTTTGAAATTTGCTGTTGCCAAAGTACAATGGGGTATTAGGGCCACATTGAAGAAAAACGAGAAATCTGAAATTACGATAATAAAGTAGGAATTTTACTAGAATTAAAAGTGTAAAATTTTGAAAGAAAAAAAACATAATTTTTAGGATTACAAACAACCAATCAAACATGTGAAATGACAGTGTCAGTGGTAGACTGAGCTGCTTCTGGCAGCTGCTGTTTGTCCAACAATAGAATAGACTCTTCACAATCTTTTCAATGTCCTGATGCTGATGCTGATGTGATGGTGATGAGCTAAAGATGAAGGATCTCCTTCTGCAAAAGTAGAACTTCACAGGATGCTCCACGTTCCTCATTTTAAAGCTTCTGATATTTCCTCTCTAAAACACAAAATCTAAAATTACCACATTATTCTCATATTGACTTTTTTTCTTGTAAAATTACATTATTCTTGTAATATTTTGACTTTCTCTCATAAAATTATGACTTTATTCTCAAAATTTCAGATTTTCTTTTCCTCAGTGTGGCCCTAATACTCCATCGTACCAAAGTGCCTCACCAGCAATCCTTTTATAGCTAAAAGAAAATGCTAACGTTTCTGGCCTAGCATTAGATACATCCACATATTTACTGGAACCAGTGATCCCATATGAAATATATAACTCAGTATCAGCATCTGTGTACTGTGTTGTGGTTTTATTGTAGCATTTTTGAACAGCACATTCCTCACATTGATTTTATTTTGAAAACATGAAAGATGTCTGTTTCTTTACATAATTTTTCAGCCATTCCGCTGACTTAAGCTCAAAACTCCAAAGTTGACATGAGGTGTAGTACAGCTGCCATAGACCCAAATTTGCTATAAATCCATGAATGTTGAAAAGACATGACCACAGGCCTGTAAATGTTGTATGTGTACTCAGATGATCATAGTGATTAGCTTGTTTTTCTAGTATCCAATAGCATTTGATTGGCTATTTCTTTCTCCATACTGGTTCACCCCCTGCAACTTAAATCAGACACATTCAACATTAAACAAATGGAATTCCATTGAGTACAACAGACATAGATGAGAATGTTGCATGTGTGTAATGCTGACCTAGGGTATTATTCATGCCAACATAGTGAAGCTTCAAAGCACTGGACAGTTGTGGCTAGACCCATGGGATTGTTTCAGGATTCGTGGCCCTCCCCCACAATAATGTACACAGTCCACCACTGTCTGTCTCCAGGAAAAGAAAAAAACATAAGTCCTGTGAAAAGGTGAAGTAGCAGAAATGTTACAGCTCATTTCTTCTTTCCCGCTCTCTTCCCCTCTCCTTTCTTTGGTTTTCCTTTTCCTCTTAGTTTCCTCATGCGACGCATTTCGTCTTTGAAGTCTTCATGCTCATCCCTGAGAAGGAAGAGAAAACTGTTTATGAAAACCTTCACCCTGCTTACTGAAGGTTACATCCACATTGATTAAATACCATTTTTACTCATTGATCAATTTAACTATGCCATATTTTTGATAGCTGTTAAACTACCACTAATTAACCCAACATTTGCAGCGCACGTGTTTCACATTAAAGTTCCAGCAGCTCAAAGAGCAGAATACTTCCCAGCAAGGGTGTAGGTTTACATGTGGACGGTAGGGACATGTCCTTACTGCTATTTTGTGAGGACAGAATTGTCCCAACCAATATTTGAGTGAACTTGTTCATACTATGTTTGGAGTGAAGTCATATTAGATCATTCCCATGTGGCCCCCAAGAGGCTACGTCTCCAAGACGACTGATTTAGGCATGCTAGCATTGGCTGAGTGGCTGAAAGGGCGGGGACTATCTGAATTCTCACGTCATGTGAGAATATCACACTGGTACCTAATGTCACCAGCCTTTCCACTGTGGAAAAATGTCAACTGATGTTATTTAATTAACCATGTTAGCTAGATTTAACTAGCAAGCTAACCATTGCTTCTGTCTTCTGTAGGCTAGCAGTCAGATTGCTAGCAGGAGTAAAATAAAATGGGTCGATATGTCAAAGTATGAGTTGAATTTCTGTCGAGAAATCCCATGAAAAGGAATTATTTTTTAGTAAGTAGAGCAGCTGATGAGGAAACAGGTGCATCTTCAGTGTTTTAGAATGATTGTGTGATTAAAAATATGCTATTGTGGATTAACTCTAAATTGCTAACTTAGATTTAACATAACCATAGTCTACCTATTCTGATGTTAACTTGTAAATTATTATAACAGGATCATTTCTTTAAGTTTTAGTCTTTGATCTGTTACTGTTTTATTTAAATGCAAACACATTTTTTTTATGTAGTATGCTTTTTTTTTGTAATTTGCATTTTTTTAATGCAAAATACTTGCAGGAAGTATTGAGTGTCACTGACAAATGCTTAACAACGGTCAAAAAAACCTGTGCTAAGTAGAAACGACTTAATCATTGAATGAGAGAAAATGAGAGTGCTGAGGAGATGTGCTTTATACTTAATTTACCAGGTTGGTTTTCGATGTGGGACATATATTTTTAAATTTGCGTCATATTACTTTGATTAAATGATTTTATTTTAAAGATTGACAGTCATGAACTACCATAGTTGTTATCCTGTGTGAAAGTGCAAATACATGAAGTACTAATATTTAAATTAACTCATTTAATTTCATTTAATTTTAAAAAAGCAAATAGATCAAGATCAAAGATCAAGCTTAAACTTTTGCCATAAGTCATCAACATTAGGGGACAGGTGAGCAGTTTCTACAGTACCTGAAAAGTCCCATGAATCTGAGCTTTTGGGTCATGGCATAGTAAATCTTGTGCTGTGGGTACCAGTCATACACCTCCTTTCTCTTGGCCATGGGAGGCTCCTGGAACAGCTGGACCACCTTCATAGATTTGGAGTCTGTTGGACGCACAACATCCCCGAAGATCCGAGCGCTCAGTCTGGCCATGCGCACGGCATAGCTGGACAGACCGGCCATGACTGTTCAGCAGAGCAGAGAGAAGACTTGATATACAGGAGATGTGAGGGACATTGACTGAGCATTAAACACACTGGCTACATAATCAATTATATATTCATCATGTCCACGGTTTTAGCCTACACAGTTAAAACTAGATCAGGTGAGATCCTGAGCTTTGTGTTTCGAGTGTATGCATTAAATAATTAAACAAAAAGAAAAGTCAAACATGTAGTGAGCAGGACAGCGTAATCAGAGTGGGAAAAGTCAATAACTTCAATACTTGAGTCACAGTATAGATCCTCCTGGTCAAATAGACTCCAATACAAGTGAAAGTTGTTCACAGATGAACACAGCCTATGGTCTATTACATTTTCAAAATAAAAGAAGATACATAACCCTTACTAAAAGCTCTGCTTCAAAGTAAGAGTACTTCATAGAAATGTAGAGGAGTCAAAAGTACAACATCTGTCTTTAAGTGTAGTGGAGGAAAAGTCAGACAGTTAAAAAAATATATGTATATTCAAATAAAGAACAGATCTGAAAAGATATACTGAAGTACAGTACTTAAGTAAATGTACTTGGTTAACTGTCCACCCCTGGTTATCACACTGACTAACATTGTGAGCTCATGTTATTGGATACGCTCTCCGTGTTTTAGTCGTCATATTAGTTAGTAGTTTGTCAGTTTTGACTTCCCTTCGCCTTGTGAAACCCCCTATTTAACAACATGATGAAAGACAGCATTTCAACAGCAACAGTAGTAAGTCTTACCTGAGTCTGCAGTCAGTGGGGAATTAGTTACACACTGTAAAAACCGCTCGTCAAACGTATTTAGCCCGAATTAAATTACAACTGTGGGTAAATTAATTATATTGACGCTAAAGCTAACGTTCACCTTCACACACACGCCATACTGCCATCATAGGCTCTATCGCGCATGTCACATTTCCCAACAGCTGATTGGTTAGTGCTTTCACTTCCTGTTTTCTGACATTCTATCTTCTGATATACACGGTTTTTTTTAATTTCACACAAATATGTAAGTAAGTCCTAATTAAAACGTTATATTAACGGAGACACACCTTCGTTATTGATGTAAACTGATGTATCTTTTAAGCTATCGAGCGCTGGCAGGAAGTCCGTCGGTCGTAAGAGAGCCGTGAGCTTGACAAACTGCACAAAAGTTCCGCTTCTCAGACAGCAGTTTGTTTGTATATAGCGGTATGTATTATTTGACTTTATCTAGAAAACAAAGCCACAATGAAGCAAGCATTTTAGAATATATGAATCTAATAATTGCATTGAAACCCATAATTTAAAACATAAAGCTGACATTAAAAATAAATGGTTTTATCAACTGCGTATTACTGTACTGCTCGAGGCATGGATATATCGGTTAAGGTTGTTTGGTTATGGCAAGTCCTTTTAATTTGCATTATGACTAGTCAAAACTGAGAGGGGAATTACCAATGAGTCTGAAATTCTATTTTGCCATCCAAAATGTGAATTCCAGATATTTTCATTAAATTCTAACGGAATTGTCAATTCTAATGGAATTTTTTACTAATTCCAATCAACAATATATTTAATTAGCCACATCTTTTATGATAGGTCAAACGATTACTACCCAAAATTCAGATATTGTAGATATCTGAAATTTGAGTTACATTAGTCAAAACTGAAATGGAGATATGTTGAATTTGAGTATCAATAGTCATAATTCCTTTTCAGATATGAGAGGTGTCCCCCACCCCCACCCCCCAATCACCTCCAGCTAAACTATGATGAACGTTACTTTCTTTCTCTCCCTTACTAATTATTTCATCTACATGACTTTTTCATGTTAACTTTTCATCCATTCTCTCTGAGGGACACTCATATATAGAGATATTTAAAGCAGGAATTTTCCTCCTGAAGCCAAATACATAGAAATCCTAAATCCCCACTTACCTGTCCACTGAACAACCTGACCCAAGGCCTTTTGGGTTTGATAGAACAAATAACCAATATTTTCTCTCTCCTCCAGATGGCGCCATCATTTGCAAACAAAGACTTTGCAAAACCTTGGTGAACTTTTGGAAAGTGTTGTTTATCATTGCATTAAAGAGGACTGGACTTGAGACCTGGATTGAGAAAATCATTTATCCAGTAAAACATTCTGCCATTACTGTGTTAAGCACACCCTCCCTCCACATTGAGTCATATGCCCTTTCAATATCCAAGAATAACCCAATTACAGCTTCCTTAATGACAATAGTTTTCCAAATATTCTGATTTAATACTGCAATAGAATCCATAGTGGTTATTCCAAATTTGAAACCACTTTGATAATTCACAAAAAAAAAAAGCTTGAAGGAAATATACCTGTCTATTTGTATTCTTTCTATTATCTTGCACAGAGGAAATGTCAACGCTAAAGGTCAATAAGACGATGGACAGGTCGAGTCTTCTCCTGGTTTCATATTGGAATCACTACAGCCTGTTTCCCTTTTGTTGGTAACTTACCAGCCTTTCACATGCAGTTCAAAAGGGCAAGGTGTTACAGCCCCTTCTGTGACTGCTGGATTTTCCCAGTTTATTTACCCTGTCTGTCTTTCTCTGTGTCTCGTCCTCCTTGTGTGAATGTATGGCCCAATCCCAATATCGCCTCTCACAGACTCACAGACTTGGACGTGAGTTCCTGGTAATTTTGTGAGGGCATAGTTCTGTCCCACTGTCAAACCATCGAGGTCATGGAGCTCTCCAGCAGACATTTTGAGTCCTTTATGCACACTTTCTGTAACTCTGCATTTCTGCAGACTTTGCCTGAGGGAATAACCCAAAGTTCATAGCGTTGTGACATTAAACACAGGGTTGCCATGGTTATCAGGGGATGCCCGGAAGCGTAAAAAACAGCAAACAACTGCCATACAATTCAAGAAAATTATATTATATGAAAGCACTGAACCCTAATGTTAGCATTACAAGAAAAAAGACAGTATATGACAGAATAAACACAGAGCTCACCACTGAGTTATTTGTCCTATGATAACATGAAGATGAATTCCAAATATCCAAATTGGATCAGATCTGATTACAGCTGATTACAGGGGGGGTGCAGCATTGACTTCCTGGCACACCTGTTACTTATCACTCATCAAGCCCTGTATAAGAACCCCTGCTCTTCACTCACTCGTTGCCAGATTGTTCCGATCTCAATGTGGTACCGCTCCAGGCCACCTTTTGCTCCCGTGAAAGATGCTTCTTGTTGTTTTTTTGGGAAAATACTCCCCATTGTGACTCCTCACTTCAGTTACTGTCAGAACCAGTGCTGTGCCTGCTCCTGCTGAAGATCCACCACCATTACCTGCCACTATATTCACCTGCATGCGCTGACTTTCCACCTGCAGAAGCTGGAGGTGCTTGGCTCATGCCAATAAAGAACTTTTAGCACATCCATCCTGTGGCGTCTGTATCTATATCTGCCCTGGGCTCCAAACAGAATTAAATAACAAATCGTAACACAAATAAAGAGTTACATATCTAAAAAATAGAATTTGTGTTTAATCAACTTTGACAGTGGGGTAATTTTTACCACAGGGCCTGCAAATCTGTGCTTAGACTGTATTGTTTTATATTGCCAATTCCTTGCTTTATATTTATTTTTTTTGCAAATATTCTTTCCATCATTTCCTTCACATTATTTCACTTATTCATGAGTGGCTGAAAACTAAAGCTGTCATTTACTACACTCTACATTGTGTCTTTACAACTTATTAACAGAAGAGGGCGCCAGATATGAAGGAACTGCAGCCACGCACACGTTCAGAGCTTAATTTCCACAGCAGAGTGACAATGCCTGACAGTAACCACTGGAGATAAATGGGCCAACACAAACTTACAGCACAGAGTCTGGCGGGGACACACACATGAAAATGATTAATGGGCAGAATTCCAGTTTATTTCTGAACTTCAGCTGCACCAGAGCAGCTACTGAGTGAACAAACCTGCATATGCCTTTTAATTTGTAAATGTTACACTGACTTTCATTGTTGTGCAGCCACTTCACTATGACTGCCAGTAACATAGTGTTTGTCTTGATTATTGAAAAAATGAATGTAAAATTAGTACCACCACAATCAGACTACACTTATAAAGGATTTATAAATTCTTTATAATTAGGTTATTAATTCTGTTGTTAACACTTTAACAAGTTATAACACAGTTTTCATACATTGATGCAGGCTCACTATTTGGCAAGATGAAGTTACTACTCATTAATCTTACTAATGAGTTATTACCAATTGTAACTGGTAAAAGGAGCCTTATAGTAACTCATTAATAAATGATGTGTTTTACACTTTTATAAATGTTTGTAACTGATAAATAAATGATTGTAAAAACGAGATGAAGAAACCTGAAGATGATGGAGGGAGAATCACAGAGATGTGAACAGTGGGACAAAGAATGGGTGAGCAGTTCACCAGGTAAAGGAAGGTCACCACCTGTGTTCTAGCTGGAATGCTAAAGTCCTAAAGAAGAGACCGACCAGCAGAAAGCATCTCCATGTTAATCTCCACTGTGATAACAATCTGATCAACAGCTGTGATTATAATGAGGACGGCTGCTGAGAGCATGTAGAGGTCAACAACACTGCCAAGGCCTCAGAGGATGAATCTGGTCATGTGATATGATCATGTGATCTGCCATAATTTGATCTGCCAGATGAAACTTTCTGAGCATTAAGATGCTGGCGATGGTTTATTGATAGTAACTGAACAAACGTGTGATAAAGCAGCAGGTACAAACGCTGATGATGGAGAAAACAATGAAAGCTCAGTAACTAATGAGATATGAGGCTGAACAGTACAGACACATGTGGGCTCACTATTTGGCAAGCAACAGGTCACTGTTGCCATTTTTCTCTAATGTGTTATAACAGCTTATAAATGATTTATATAGTTTTAACAAGCTAATTACTAGTTATAAACCATTTATAAATCCTTTATAAGGGGAGTTTGATTTTAAAGTGGTACCCTTATTTCCTATCTCATTCTTGAAATTCTGTTTAAACGCTTATGTTCTCTTTACTGCTAATTCTGTCTCTCATACCCACACTCTCTCTCTCTCTTTCTTATACACACACACACACACACACACACACACACACACACACACACACCGCCTCCACAGAGGGAGTGCGGGAAAAAAAGGAAAAGACATGTTTACACAAAGTCAGACAGTGCGCGCACAAAGGGGGGGGGGACTTTGCACAGAGTATGCTCAGTCTCTCTCCTCTTACAATTTAGGTTTTTATTTGCTATTAATAGTTTTTATTTTATCATTATCTTTTTGGTTGACACACATTTCCAGTGCTTCAATAAGGGAAACCAGTATCTTCTTCCCACTTGAAACACTGCAGACACGTTAACACACCAAGATAGCTTAGCTACGCCTGGGAGTTCACTCAGAACTTGACATGCTTTTATCATTTTTATGAAAAGTATACTTCTCAGGTGCACCTCTGTGCAGTCTGGAGGAAAGTTGGGGAGAGAGAGAGAGGGGATGACATGCAGCATATCAGATTTACAGCAGCCAAATACAGGCAATCAATGGCGGTCGGTGGAAGAAATGGTGTTTTTGATAACCAAAAAAAGCCATTTACGACCTATCCAAAAAACACTGGGAACTTAACAGGCAAAACAGAAGCAAAACAGAAAAACCAAAAACAGTGAGGACACGGCAGCAAGAGACATCGGGGACTGCAAAAATCCAAACTGAAGCAAACGACGAACTGACAAAGACAAGTTGGAGCACAGAGACTAAATACACACAAGGGAGGCAAGGGTGATTAAACACAGGTGAAACACATTAGACAATCACTGAAGGAGGGAAACAGGACAAAGACAGGAGATAAAATGACCACAAGAAACACAGGGAAGTGATCACAAAATAAAACAGGA